CATGGCTATCAGGATGGGTAAGGAATGGTGTCCCTAGCCTCTGTTTGTCAGAGGATGGAGATGGATGGCAGGAGGGAGATCACTTGATCATTGCCTGTTGGTCCACTCCCTCTGGGGCACCTGGCATTGGCCACTGTCGGTAGACAGGATACTGGGCTAGATGGACCTTTGGTCTGACCCGGTACAGTCATTCTTATGTTCTTATGCGTGGCCACAGATGGAGGCACAGCTATATTCACACATGCAGAGCTTTTTGGTTTATTTATACAAGGTATTAAATGCTTTTCAGTTTGGCTATCAACATTTCAAAAGAGCTTCAAGTATTGTAGATTAATCAAATTTTATAGGCCCTGGTTCAACAAAGCACTTAAATGTGTGCTTAAGTACTTTGCCGAATAGGGGTGGATATCTTATGTTTTGCTGAATCTTTGATACAGTTGCAGAAAATAAAGTTTCAGCACCCTAAAAATTAAAGTGTAGGGGATAATTTTCCTGTGTATTTGCATTACATGCTTTATTTGCTCTTGTATGCTCTGAAATCGTAAATATACTTTTAGCTTATCATTTACATTATAAACACACACACACACACCTCAGGCTAATGGAAAATGGAAAAATCATTCTGTCATATTTATTCCTCAGTTGTACTTATAATAGGCCTGATTCTGCAAGGTCCTGAACATTTTCAATTTGCATTGACTTCGCTGGCAGTTGAGCATTCTCAACACCTTGCAAGATCAGGCCTAACAAGAACAACTATCAGCATGGTAAGTTCCTGCCTATACCTGCTTTTCAGTCACCCTTCTGGTATGAGATAAATTACACCTGACAGCAGACAGTGTGATACATTTCTCATTGTAATTTGGTAGAATTGACTGTGCTCAGCCCACTCATGGCTTTGCTGTGTTCTGCCATTCATAAGTTATGTGTTTCAGCTGTAATTCATGAAAATAAAGGGCCTGGTTCTGCAACCATGACTCATGTGAGTAGTCAGTGATTTGAACTAGTGAATGATTTGAAGTCAGTGGGCCAAATTCTGCACTCAGTTGTCCCAGCGTAATTTCAGAGTGACTCTGATAAAGTCTTTGTTGCTTATATCAGCGCAACTAAGAGGAGAATTTGCTCCAATGAGTGAATTTTCATGAGTAAAGAATGCAAGATCAGGCCCGAAAGGTGTTAGTCACATCAGTTGCTGTAAACTTTCATAGGCTACATGATGCACTCCCTGCAAGGGAACTTATTTAGCTATGTTATAGAAACAAACTCCTCCACAGTGAGGT